AAAAAAAAAAAAGAATAGCTGCTGCTGAGGCTGCTTATGTACAGCCAAAAACCTCATGGAATTTGGTTCCTTAGTTTGGAGGTTTAGCATCATGGATTCATGGGACATCTCAGTTAATTGGCCTAATAATGTGTTTAGTGCTTCTGTTCTACCTCCTAGTTTGTTTAGTGCCTGGGGTCTTAAAAGCTTGCAAGTGGCCATCTGAGGTACAACCAAAAAAACCAAACCAAACTCATTGCTGTCGATTCTATTCTGACTCATAGTGACCCTAAAGGACAGAATAGAAATGCCCCATAGGGTTTCCAAGGAGCAGCTGGTGAATCTGAACTGCTGACCTTTTGGTTAGCAGCCAAGCTCTTAACCACTGTGTCAACAGGGCTCCCCAAGGCACAACAATTGGTCTCTATTTGCCTGGAGTAACAGAGGATGAAGTAGAGTCAGGAATAGGAGGAGGAGATGAAATGTGTTGGTAATTGCCTCCATGAACAACTATCTCCTTTGCCATGAGACCAGAAGAACTGGATGGTGCTTGGCTACCATTACTGAATATTTTGATCAAAGATTCTATAGAAGAATTCTGATCAAAAGGGGGAAAATGCAGAATGGAATTTCAAATTCTTATGGACTCTAGACTTCTTGGAGCCATGAAGGTTGGATGAACCCTTGAAACTATTGCCTTGAGATAATCTTTAAACCATAAATAAAAAATATCACCTGAAGTCTTCTTAAAACCATACAATAGTTTAGCTTAACTAGTAAAAAATGCCCACCTTGAGCATTATGCTTTTTTAAAAACTATCTATATGGGATAAAATTGATAAGAGTAATTTGAAAGATTAGCAGGCAGTGAATTTATGTTAATTGGGGAGGAACAACTCAGAAAAGGAGGGCAATGGTGGTAGCACAATTCAAAGAATGTAATCAATGTCATTAAATGGCATGTGTAGAAACTGTTGAATTAGTGTATGTTTTGCTGCGTATATTCTCAACAACAACAAAATAAAGAAAGTAAAACAATCAGTACAAAAGAGTTAGATAATATCAAACAAAGAAAGAAAGCTACATATGCGGAAAATTTGGGGGAGTAAATAGCTGTCCTTAAAAATGTGATGAGAACATGGTGCTATAGTCAGAAGCACCATGCTGTCCCTCTGCAGCAAAGATCAGAAAAACTAAGTCAAACAGTCACACGTCAATCCTGAAACCCTAAGCATCAAATGAAGAGAAAAAGAACTCAGCCAAGCTCCGAATGAGATAAGAAACTGACTGAGAACAGAAAGCAAGGAGAGATACATGCAGAGGTCCCCTATCAGCTACTGCTGCATAGATTTGCCAACATGGACTCCTATCAGAGATCAGCGAATGGGGGGTATGAGAAAGCAGCTTCATGGAGCTTCCAGCAGGAGACAGAACAACCAGTAACAAGCGATATAGGCTTTCCCACCCCACACTCTTCTTCACCCCCACTTAGCCTCCTCTGCTTCCTGTAGCCACAGTCTCTTGGCTGGGAAGCACAAGCTTCACCCCAGTGTCACTTAGATTCCACCCGCTCATACTGGCCAGCTCCCTGAATGCCTTTTGTTGGCTGCTGGTGTTGCTTTTTTCCACTTCTTTAGATTTCTTCCTTACCTCTCACCACCTCCCCCTCCTTTCTCTCAAATACCTGGATCCATGTGCCATCTTTGCTTCTTCCTGAAAGTTTGCAAAACACTGCTCGACGGTGAAACTGCTTCC